GATCAGTGAAGCGATCGGAGCGCGCTGGAGCGATCACGTGGGAAACTCCGGCTGTTTCGCACTAGAGCTGCCTCGTGGTTGCGCCGCCGTTTGCCCTGACACTATTGGTCAATTTCACACCCAAAGCTGCGGGGCTGCATTTCACCCGATTTCCCCCGCAGTTTCGTGATCCTGTTTTTTGAGGATCACGAAACTGCAGAGGAAATCGGGCGAAGCCACGGGTCAAATGCAGCCCCGCAGCTTCGGGTGTGAAATCGACCAATAGTGTCGGGGCAAACGGCGGCGCAACCGTGAGGCAGCTCTAGTGCGAAATCAGCCCCTGTCTGCGGCCTGTCGCAACCCATTTGAGACTGCATTTTCCCAGGTATTTTTTAACTCCACGTCTTCGGCGGAGCGAGACGGGTTGCCGACGGGTGCGAGATGCTTGCCGGATGTTCCCGTGTGATCATGCCGTTAAAATCCACCCGGCAGCCGTGCCTCTCACGTGGCTACTTCTGCGCGCGATTAGGGCCTAGTTGCATTTTGAAGTGTGTTTGTATGAAGTGCCGTCAAGACGCTTCCGACTTATGGTGAGCCTATGGATCGAGGTCCTCCGGAATGTCCTGTCGTGGACCGCCCTGCTCAGGTCTTGCAGACTGAGGTTGGATCCGGTGGCCGACATGGATGACATAAGTCCCACCCGATATCCAGAACCTGATAAACACCAACAAGAGACCCACAGGATTGGATGTGCCATGTAAAGGACGGAATACAGCGAATAGAATATGAACAGGCTTTGGCGGTTGGGACAGACCTGTTGTCTAAATGGGGCAAAATGCCGGGACCTGAATGCGACTGTGGCGCAGCCCGCCAAACTCTTTTCCATCTGTCACAGGAATGTGAGCATCATGTTCTCCATGGAGATGTGACGGAGCTCTTTGAAATTACCCCAGTTGCAATTGAGTGAGTTGGAAATGTAGATATTAGTCTTTAGGGGGATTGCCCAATCGATCTGCATAACCATTTTTCTACTCGGTTGCATATTTTATATCATCATCTACTTCCCGTGAGCTGCGGTGGCTCAAGTGGTTAAGAGGCTGAACTGCAGGCTGTGGAAGGTCGGTAGTTCAGCAGTTCGAGATCCGGGTTGCCGCATGACGGAGTGAGCTCCCGTCTCTAGTTCCAGCTCCTGCCAAACTAGCAGGTCGAAAGCAAGAAATTGCAAGTAGATAAATAGGTACCACTTCGGTGGGAAGGGAACAGCGTTCCGTGCGCCTGGGTGTTTAGTCATGCCGGCCACATGACCACGGAAACGTCTTCAGACAGCGCTGGCTCTTCAGCTTTGAAACGGAGATGAGCACCGCACCCCTAGAGTCGGATTTGACTGGCTTTCGAGCACAGGGAACCTTTACATTTACCTTTTACTTCCCGTGTGTAACTCTGCCATACGATAAATAAATAGTTGGATCTCCCTTTTTTCCTTCTGTCTTCCGTTTTTCCTAGCATTATTGTCTTTTCCGGTGAGGTCTTCTCATAACATGACCGAAGTGCGATAGCCTCGAATGAGTCATTTTAGCTTCTAGGTAAAGCTACTTTTCTTTTTTTTAAATTCTGTGCTTTCATTCATTGTTGTTATTGTTCAGTCGCCCAGTTGAGTCCGACTCTTCGCGACCGATCTGTCTTGGGTTGTATTAAAAGGGCCACAGCGTCAAAATTGCAGGAGGTCCTAGTCCCTCTGCATACTGCCTTAGCAGGGGTCATTCCATAGAAAAAGAGGTGCAGGAGCTCATTAGCATAACTTGTTAGCATAACTTATTAGCATATGCCACACCCCCTGACATCACCGGAAGTGTGTCAGAAGGCAACACCCAGCGCTCAGGCTCCACTGGATTCTTTTGGATTGCTAGCTATTGCGGGGTGGGGGGACATGCAGATCTGTCTTCACAGAGGAGGGAGAGCTTGTACATGAAGAAAACTTGGTGTCAAAGGTGCCACTGGACTGTTTTGGACCGGTGGGCCAGGGGGGGGGGGGCTCTGCAACTTACCTGGCTGCTTCTTGCTCCTCGTGGCCCAACTGAGGGCTGCTGGGAGCAGGGGGCAGGGCTTGTTGCATGTGCCCGCCCCCTGGGCTCCTTACTGCCGGAGCTCCACTCCTGTGTGCTCCCGCAGGAAATGACCCCTGTGCCTTAGTCAGGCTGCACCTTGAGTCCTGTGTGCAGTTCTGGAGGCCTCACTTCAAAAAGGATGTGGGCAAAATCGAGAGGGTGCAGAAGAGAGCGACAAGGATGATCGGGGGCCTGGAGACTGAGCCCTACGAGGAAAGGCTGAGGGCCCTGGGAATGTTTAACTTGGAGAGAGGTGGAGATTGAGGGGGGGACATGATTGCTCTCTTTAAATATCTGAAAGGCTGTCATTTGGAGGAGGGCAAGGAGCTGTTCCAGTTGGCAGCAGAGGACAGGACCTGAAGCAACGGGTTTAAATTACTCGCAGAAAGGTATCGGCTGGATATTAGGAAAAACATTTTCACTGTCAGGGTGGTTCAAAGGTGGAATCTGCTGCCTCAGGAGGTGGTGAGCTCCCCTTCACTGGTGGCTTTCAAGAAGAGGCTGGACAAATATTTGACAGAGATGCTTTAGGTTGGACCTGCATTGGGCAGGAGATGGTCTGTATGGCCCCTTCCAACTCTATGATTCTATGAAATGTCACTTTTCTGGTCAGGCCATCTGTGCCATAAGATATCATGCTAGGTACCAGAGATATCTCTCCTTATATATAATTGAGTAGTGGGTGCCAAAGTTCTAAAATGCACTCCTTTAGTGTATGGACGCTTGAACTGTCAGTCAGAAGACGCTGGCTGGGTTGACTGGCTGCTTTGTGCAGTCCCGCCCAGTGTTTCAAGGTCTTTTGCATATGGAAGCTGATTGGACTTCACTGCATTCCACACCTCAAACTCACCCCCCTCCCCGCAAGGCAGTTGGAATGTCAGTTGCATATGGAACCTTCAAGGTCTTTTGCATATGGAAGCTGATTGGACTTCACTGCATTCCACACCTCAAACTCACCCCCCTCCCCGCAAGGCAGTTGGAATGTCAGTTGCATATGGAACCTTCAAGGTCTTTTGCATATGGAAGCTGATTGGACTTCACTGCATTCCACACCTCAAACTCACCCCCCTCCCCGCAAGGCAGTTGGAATGTCAGTTGCATATGGAACCTTCAAGGTCTTTTGCATATGGAAGCTGATTGGACTTCACTGCATTCCACACCTCAAACTCACCCCCCTCCCCGCAAGGCAGTTGGAATGTCAGTTGCATATGGAACCTTCAAGGTCTTTTGCATATGGAAGCTGATTGGACTTCACTGCATTCCACACCTCAAACTCACCCCCCTCCCCGCAAGGCAGTTGGAATGTCAGTTGCATATGGAACCTTCAAGGTCTTTTGCATATGGAAGCTGATTGGACTTCACTGCATTCCACACCTCAAACTCACCCCCCTCCCCGCAAGGCAGTTGGAATGTCAGTTGCATATGGAACCTTCAAGGTCTTTTGCATATGGAAGCTGATTGGACTTCACTGCATTCCACACCTCAAACTCACCCCCCTCCCCGCAAGGCAGTTGGAATGTCAGTTGCATATGGAACCTTCAAGGTCTTTTGCATATGGAAGCTGATTGGACTTCACTGCATTCCACACCTCAAACTCACCCCCCTCCCCGCAAGGCAGTTGGAATGTCAGTTGCATATGGAACCTTCAAGGTCTTTTGCATATGGAAGCTGATTGGACTTCACTGCATTCCACACCTCAAACTCACCCCCCTCCCCGCAAGGCAGTTGGAATGTCAGTTGCATATGGAACCTTCAAGGTCTTTTGCATATGGAAGCTGATTGGACTTCACTGCATTCCACACCTCAAACTCACCCCCCTCCCCGCAAGGCAGTTGGAATGTCAGTTGCATATGGAACCTTCAAGGTCTTTTGCATATGGAAGCTGATTGGACTTCACTGCATTCCACACCTCAAACTCACCCCCCTCCCCGCAAGGCAGTTGGTGCCCAAAGCCAGAGCACTCCCCCAGAGCCTCTTTCTAGATCTCGTTGTATTGCTTTCACAACGGGCTTTACTGCTAGTAACTTTATAAAGGACACAGGCAAACCCAAGTAACAATACTATTTTTACTACCAACACAAATATGCTTAAAACATTAATCCTCTTTCAGTATTTCCTTACAAGTATGTCCCTGATGCCCTCCCTCCCACTTCCACTGCCTGTCACGTATTAGCACTGGGACACGATACAGGGACATAATGCAGAGCCTCCGTCATCTCTCTATATTATAAAGCTAATTTGGGGTGATCACACTCGATGCGTTCCCTCAGCCATAGGCTGAGACGGCCGCCACTCATGCCGGGGATGCTTGCCACTGGCCGCGGTCTCTGCCCCCACCCACAGAGGCAGTGCCCTGTGATTCGAAGAGAGAGCGGCTTTCCTGCTGCCACTGCCGACTACATGCAGCTGACTGGCCTCTCACTGGGCGGGGGCCAGCGCACCGCTGGCCCCAAGGCTACTGGAGGTCCCCCAGCCACTCCCTCACCCCCCCCCCCGACTCCAGGAGGGTCGTGTGTGGTAGAGATTGGGAGACTGGGGGTGCCTCTGTCGTGCCGTGCTAGGGCCTGTTGTCTTCCTCCACAATGGGCTTTGCTCCTAGTCTGGCAATAATGGTAACTGGTTGCCCGTGGGCCATATGTTTGACACCCCCATCCTAAATCAATCAATCAATCGCGCTATCTCTCAGCAGGCTGCAGGGAAATTCCAGATTTGCATCGACAGGCTTGGGGGAGGGCACTTTCTTGGAATAGCGAGACGGCGGGGGAAGGGACCTCTCCTGGGAATGCCACCCTCTCACTGTCCCTCCTTTCTCGTAGGTCCTTGGCTATCGGCCACCAATATTCGTCGCTGGGAACACAGCCCATCCTGTGCGGAAGCATCCCTGGCTTGGTGCCCAAGCAGCTGAGGTTCTGTCGCAACTACGTGGAGATCATGCCCAGCGTCGCCGAAGGGGTGAAGATTGGCATCCAGGAGTGCCAGCACCAGTTCCGTGGGAGGAGGTGGAACTGCACCACCGTCAACGATAGCTTGGCCATCTTTGGGCCCGTGCTGGATAAAGGTGAGTGCGTCGCTTTGTACAAAGTGTATCGGGGATGGGCAAAAGTGTTGGAGTGAGCGACTTAGCATGCCTGGACGTTGGGGTGCGCCACTGTCAATATGTGTAGCTGTAAGTCATGAGCTGGTAATCTAGATCTCATGCATCTATTTGACACTTGACGGCATCTGACGGACAGACTCATCTGGCGCAAACTAGTTCTGGCTCGTACTCAAAGGCTGGAGTCAGAGTGACTCAGCAGTGTAAGCTGATTGGCTAATGATATGTATATATGCAATCATGTACAGTATAGCTTTTCCTCTGCTCGTGAATGGATGTATGGCGCAGCACTTTGCCAATGTTGGATCAGGCCAAAGGCCCATCCAGTCCAACACTCTGTATCACACAGTGGCCAGAAATACCAGGTGCCATCAGGAGGTCCACCAGTGGGGCCAGGACATTAGAAGCCCTCCCACTGTTGACCCACCCCCCCAAGCACCAAGATGACAGAGCATCACTTGCCCCAGAGCCCCTATCTATACCTTGTGGCTAATAGCCACTGATGGGCTTCTGCTCCATATGCTTATCTAATTCCCTTTTGAAGCCGTCCATGCTTGTAGCCACCACCACTTCCTGTGGCAGTGAATTCCAAGTGTTAATCACTCTTTGGGCGAAGAAGGACTTCCTTTGATCCGTTCTAACCCGACCGCTCAGCAGTTTCATGGAGTGCCCATGAGTTCTTGTATTGTGAGAAAGGGAGAAAAGTACCGCTTTCTCTACCTGCTCTACCTGCTGTAAATAGTTACTACACAAGACTGTGTGGACAATTGCTTCTTGGGACTAAGCTGACTACTGCTGAACTCAGTACACACGCAACACCAACAGCTACCTCACTCTAAGGGTGTCTAGGTGTTAACTCCTTGAATGGGACGCCTCTCTTTGTCTTAACGTGGGAGCTGCCCTCTGACTCCTCCTCTCACCCTCCCTTTGTCCTCTCCCTCACTTCACATGGCCTTCCATGGAGACACATGTCCAGGGCTATTTTGGGGCAGGAACGCACCGGAACGGAGTTCCGGCTGTCTCCCAGGTTGGCCACGCCCAGCAGGAACTCATTAGCATAATAGGCCACACCCAACAGTAGAAACTCATTAGGACTGGCTACATGAGGGGTGTGGGGCCGAACATTCAAAGGAGTTCCTGCTACAAACCCCCCCCCTGGGTTTTGACAACAAACAAGGTAAACAGAATAAGAAGCAAAAGGTGGCTGTGGCTGGATAACCACTCTTCTGGAAACACAGGTGCTAATGAGCTGTGCTGGCAGGGGTGTGGCCTAATATGCTAATGAGTTTCTGGTGTTGGGTGTGGCCTATTATGCTAATGAGTTCCTGTTGGGCTTTTTGTACAAAAAGAGCCCTGCACATGTCTCTGCAGGTCTCTCCCATACTTGTGATGCCAGACAAGCTGGCCATTTGTGATCGGGAAAGTACCAGGGCCATAGCCAGGATTTTGTAATTCAGGGGGCCTTTAAGTAAGTCGGGGGGCACTGATATCACAAAACAAAAATATTCCCCTACGCAGGCTGCATGGAAGTCAGGGGGCCTTGGCAGGAAGTCAGGTGGCCAGGCACCAAAATGCCCCACTGTAGCTACAGGCCTGGAAAATACTCTTTAGACTAGGTCACGTTCGCTCTCTTTTCGACTGCAGCCTGGATGTGAACAGGATCTACTTGAATACATTTAAGTTTACCTTTTCCTGTAGTACACTTCTGGGGAGATTTATGGACTCACTCATTATCATGCTTCTATGACTGCACAAAACTCTGTCGTATTAACCAAATCTCCCAATCAAATGGGGAGATCGGAAGCCGAGAAACTGGCTGGTATAACGTCTTGTTGGCTTTTCCTCCTGCCGGCTTGATAAGTGAGACCATACTTGTGGCTTTGGTGCCAATCCAATGTGCAGTAGAACAACTAATGTGGTGGGCGGGCTGTCGCGTATGGAAACAAGCATTGTCAAGGATTTTTGCCACCTCGAAAAGGATATTGTAGTATTGGGAAAAGTGCAGAAAAGGGCGACTAGAATGATCAAAGGGTTGGAACACTTTCCCTTTGAAGAAGAGTTAAAGCGCTTGGGGCTCTTTAGCTTGGAGAAATGACGGCTGAGGGGTGACATGATCGAGGTTTACAAGATTATGCATGGGATAGAGCAGGTCGAGAAAGAAGTACTCTTCTCCCTTTCTCACAATACAAGAACTTGTGGGCACTCCATGAAATTGCTGAGCAGTCGGGTCAGAACAGATAAAAAGAAGTACTTCTTCATCCAAAGAGTGATTAACACATGGAATTCATGGCCACAGGAGGTGGCGGCGACTACAAGCACGGATGGCTTCAAGTGGGGATTGGGTAAACATCTGGAATAGAGGTCCATCAGTGGCTATTAGCCACAAGATATAGATAGGAACTCTGTCTGGGGCAACTGATGCTTGGTGCTTGGGCTTGGTGCTTGGGCTCCTAGTGTCCTGGTCCCACTGCTGGACCTCCTGATGGCACTGGGTATTTTTGGCCACTGTGTGACCCAGAGTGTTGGACTGAATGGGCCATTGGCCTGATCCAACATTGGCTTCTCTTATGTTCTTATGTTTTTAAGGAGAACTGGGGAGAGCCGTGGAGGGCAGTTGGCTATGGAGAGGTGCACTGAATATCTGCTTTATTCAGGCAATGGGGTTGCCATTGCCAAGTGCTTGCCCCCTCTGTATACACACAAAGCCAAGCACAGGTTGAGCTGTGACAGTGTCACGGAATGTTCACAAACATTCCAGCTGCTCCGGTGTAAACCGGCAATCGATTCTCGACAAACAACAGAGGTTTGGTGACGGAAATGTAAGGCCAGTTAGGATGGAAGGAAAACGTCACACGGATCGTTGTGTCAGGCAGGGCAATGCACTTTGGGGGCACAGAGGCATGATGACCAGGAAAGGTGACTAGAAGGAGAACCTAGAAGAGGAAAAGCTAAGTGGCATATGAGCCAAGATAATGGTTGGACTGCTGAATTACCAGGATGGATTTGAACGTTAACAGCCAAATTATTGTTGTTGTTGTTAAGATTAACATTAACTTCAGTTCATCAGTTGCTTGGCACCAGGGATCATTTCGAGGTGGAACGCACAGGAATGGCGTTCCGGGAGTAACAAGCCCAGGAGCGGGCACATATGATGATGCACTGTGGAAAGGTGCTGGGTTTTTGCTGGAGAGACGCGGGCTGTGCCATCATTTTGCCACGGTAAATGTTGTGGCCTGATCCTACTGTAGGACTATCCTTGCTATAGCCTGCCTTGATGTGTTTATGGTAGATGGCAAACACAGGCAGCATTGTGTATGTGGCTGCTGGTGTGATGTCTGTTTGGGATTATACCTTGTCTGGTCTTAATGTGTGTGAAGGTGCAATAGAACGCACGCTCCTCAAGACTGCTATAAACGTTACCCTTTTAATTAAAATATTTCCCAGGCATGTTGTTGCCAGAATAATCTTTTGATTGTTTTCCTGTTTGGTGTAGAGAGCCAGTTTGGTGTAGAGGTTAAGTGCGCGGACTCTAAACTGGGAGAACTGGGTTTGATTCCCCACTCCTCCACTCGCACCTGCTGGATGACCTTGGGCAAGCTGTAGTTCTGATAAAAGCTGCTCTTGAAAAAGAGCACTTTCTGTCAAGAGCTCTCTCAGCCCCACCCACCTCACAGGGTGTCTGTTGTGGGGAGGGGAAGAGAAAGGAGTTTGTAAGTCGCTCTGAGACTCCGAGTGAAGGGCGGGGTATAAATCCAATCTCTTCTCTCTTCTTCTTATTGCAGAAAAAGCAAAAGCATACTAACTTGATCTGTATTTTCATGGTTGTAGGGTAGCTTCCCTGCAAGAGCAAAGGAAAACAAAAGTGTCTTTAGTAAAAAAAAGTGTAAAGCTCGCTGCAAGTTCTGAGTTGGGAAATACCTGGAGATTTTTGGGGTGGAGCCTGAGCGGTGGGTGTTGCCTTCTGACACACTTCCAGTGATGTCAGGGGGTGTGGCATATGCAAATGAGTTATGCTAATGAGCTCCTGCACCTTTTTCTACAAATGACCCCTGCTTGGCACTAGCTGGTTGGTTTATGGTTGGGGAGGGTGTTAATTAAAAAAAACCAGACACTTTTATGACACTTTACATCAAAATTACCCTCATCCCTAAAACCCAACCCGCCTCCCCACAATCTTTCCCACCCAGTTTCCAGCTTCTTCGTTTCTCATATACAAAAGCTTCCTTCCATTAAACATACCAAACAGACCTGGATGTTTAAACTTCAGGGTTCAGTTTGGGAGACGTGTGTTTGTGTGTGTGTGCAAGCATGCACCTGCACGCGCATACTGGTGGAATGCAGATTTCAACTTGTGTTGCGTGTGACCATAGTCATTCTTTTGGTTAGGAGCACTGATTTTCAGACAGAGGTTGAGATCCCAAGCGGTGCAAAGGTGCTTCTCCGCATGCAATGATTTTCGCCTTCTGGCTTTCCGAGGAGGTCCCCGTAAGGTCCTCTGCAAAATTCCTGCGAGCTCAGACAGGCCTTGGGCTCACACATCCTACAGTTGCCAGCCTCCTGGTGGGGCCTGGAGACCCCCCACAATTACAGCGGTGTCACTACTTAAAAGGAAGGACTTCGAGTGGCGCAGGTGACTTCAGTCTGGGCCCAAGCCAAGGTGGGATATAATGGAGTAAATAAATGAACAAGTTAAGAACAGAAGAGAAGCCAATGTTGGATCATCAGGCAAGTGGCCCATTCAGTCCAACACTCTGTCACACAGTGGCCAAAAATCCCAGGTGCCATCAGGAGGTCCAGCAGTGGGGCCAGGACACTAGAAGCCCTCCCACTGTTGACACTCCCCCCCCCCAAGCACCAAGAAGACAGAGCATCACTTGCCCAAGACTGAGAGTTCCTGTCTATACCTTGTGGCTAAGAGCCACTGATGGACCCCCTTCTCCATATAAGAACATAAGAGAAGCCCA